TGCCACATGTTGCCTGCACTGCCTTCAATTCGTCTACGGTAAACAAAGTATTGTAGCCTCCAACAGATGGCCTTCTATTACGAATAGGCTTACGTTCCTCAGCAAGCTTGGGTCGTCAAAGAAGTCTGTATAATGAGCTGAACTGAAGGTACTCAACATGTTGGCCTATGGCATCTGCCTGGTGTTCCAGCGTATCACCAGCAGTACTGACGAGAGGGACCGGATGAGTGTTGTGCCCTTACTCTGTTGTACACCCTATGCGTATCAGTGTAGGAGTTAACTGACGAGAGAAAGGACAGCCAGTTCTGCCGCTTTGATTCCCGTCGGATACGCCTACCATTTGCTTTTGCACGCTTGAAATTCAGCAGGTTGTCAGCTGTAGGGTACCTGCGAAATTTCGACCAAGCTTTGCTTTGGTTCTCACAAGCTTTTTTGCACTCCGCATTCCACCAGAGCCGTCGTTTGTTTCGCGTCTTGTCAAATGTCTCTGGGATCGATTGCTCTGCGGCCTGTATGATATTGTTACGCAAACAAGGCGTAACATGTTGCGTAACAATACTTCATATGTTGTACTTTATATGTTGCGTAACAATGTGAAGTACGACCGATGCTTCACAGTCATCAATGTCTAGGTTTTCAATAGAAGAACGCGACAGTTCTGTAAGTTCTCGGAATTTTGTCCAGTCAGCATCCTGTTCTCTAAACCTGAATACATTTGTAGTCGTCTTACTTGTACTTCCTGTGTGTTTTATGCAGACAGGAAAATGATCACTTCCATAGAGGTTATGAATAACAGACCATTCTGTGGTTGACATGAGTGAAGGGGAGCCGATAGCAAGATCTATGGCTGTGTATGAGTTGCGCACTGCATTAAAGTATGTTGGTTCTTTTTTGTTAAATATACAGGAGCCGGAGTACAAGAGGAAGCTTTCGGTTAGGGAGCCTCGAGAATCTGTTCTGCATCCCCATAGGGGGGTTGTGCGCATTAAAATCTCCAACCAGGAGGAATGGATGCGAGAGCTGGTCCACGAGAGTTTCAAACTCTTTAGTAGACAGGTGGTAAACTGGAGGGATATATATTGAGCACATTGTCATTCGTCCAAAGATAAGGGTTCGTATTGCCACTGCCTCTAAGTCAGTAACCAGAGTGAGGCTTTAAGAAGGAAGAACTTTCTGCACCACGATAGCGACACCACCGGATGAATGGGCAGTGCCATGCCTAGGCATTTTCAGTATACCGCATATCTTCTTAGAAAGTTAGTGTGTGTTGACTTCAGGTGTGTCTCCTGCAGGCAAAGTATGTTAGGTTGGTGTTGCGCAAGTATTTCATAAATGTCATCCAGGTTCTTCAGTAGACCTCGGTAGTTCCAGTAGATGATACTCTCGGCAGCCATTTTTAATAATGAAGAAAGGAAGGAGGGTTATCCAGACTTCGCCGCATTTGCCAGGCTCCTGGACTGGAGGGTGTTTCTTCCCTCTGAGGCGTTATATTGGGCTCCACTTCACTAGGAGGGATTCCGTGAGCATCGGAGACGCTGAGGATGCAAGTGTCGCATCCATTGCTCCCTGTGAACACTTGGAGGCTGATGGGGGTTTCTCAAGAGGGACAGGTGCCCTCCAAGTTGTCTGTGTCGTACCCGAGGTCTCATGGAGGTTGACTTGGGAGATTTGGATTGTCTGTGTTGTCTCTGGGGTCTGATGAAGATTGACCTGGGGAACTTCGAACACTGGTGCAGCCTGCAGCTGCTTGTTGGGGGGCCGAGATGTGCGCGCACCCGCAAAGCTGTACTGCGTGCCCACTGTTGCTAGACGCCGCCCGGCCTCCCAGCGCGCTGCGACAGCGTACGATCTTCCGGAGAAGAGTGAGACCTTCTTCCGGGCTTCAGAGAATGTGATGTTTTCCGTTACTTTTATCTGGATAATTACCTTTCCTTTTTGAAAATTTCACATGTCTGCGAGTACGCTGCGTATGGCCCGTGACAGTTAGGGCACTCTGCGTGAAAGTACAGCTCTCGGTTGGGTGCTCATGATCACCACATTTTGCACATGTTTGCTTTCCGCGACAGGTGTTCGACCCATGTACATATTTCTGGCATTTGTAGCACATTCTAGGGTTGGGTATGTATGGGCGGACTTTGCAGTGGAGGAACGCAGCTTTCACGGATTCGGGCAGGATGGAGCGGTTAAATGTTATTACTATATGGGGCGTCACCACTTCGTTGTTTTGCCTGATGGTTATCCGACGAATGGCGACTATGCCTTGCTCTCGTAAGCCTTCAAGGAGGTCAGCTTCGGTTTCTCGCATCAGATCACGTTGTGAAATGACGCCTTGAACAGTGTTAAGACTGCGTTGGGGGGTGATGAACACGTCTAGGTGGGCAAACTGCTTCTGCTTAAGGAGAGTGTTTGCGTGCTGTTTCTGGCTTAGTTCAACAAGAAGATAACCGGATGACAGTTCCTTTGCGTCGCACTTTTTGCCTATTAGGTTAGCAAGGGTTCTAGCTATATGAAAACCGACAGTCCTGCAACAAAGACGTTATCTACCAGAGAGTGTATGACTAGAAAGTGTGAGAAGTGGTCACAATCGGTTTCGGTTCGTTTGGAGCTTTCGTCGGTGCGGTTCCTTTTCAGAGACCGATCAATGAGAAGGGGAAAAGATTTTGCCATGTGGAGCATTTGATGTTCGGCGGCGATGGTGACCACCCACCACTGAGCCCAACAGGAAGGCGCTACAAGGTAGAACACTTGAAGGCACCAGTCATACATCGCCGCTATAAGCAGATATAACTACACAAGGTTAACCCTTGCCGCCAGGAAATTTGGAAGTGAACGGAAGATAGGAGATGACAGGATAGATAAAAAAGTAAGAAATAAAGACGAAGATGAGAGAGGAGAGACATAAGAAAAGGCGACTTCTGCCCATTTCCCCTGGGTGGGTTAGCCCAGGGGTGCCATCTACGTGAAGCCAGGGCCAAAGAGGTGTGTTGCCTCTGCCGGGGGCCCTGATAGGTCCAGTCACCTGGCGTCGGCTCAGCCCCCTGGATTCCCTTTTCCCTGGACACGGCAAAGCCACGCACGGCTAGGCGTGGGAGGGAGCCGAACCCCCCCCCTTCCCCGTTAGCTCGGTTGTCGCTACGCATCAGACGCCTACTTGCGCAGACGCCCCTGCGGGGGATTCTGCCAAGACTCCATCAAATCACAAGTTCACGTCTATAAATGTTGTCACAAGCAAAACTATATATGATGCGAACGTAAAGCATGTTATCAACTGAAAAAAAAAATATATCACCTGCGTTGTAGAGCTCTCCTTGAAAACTGCTTTTGATTGATTGATATGTAGGGTTTAACGTCCCAAAACCACCATATAATTATGAGAGACGCCGTAGTGCAGGGCTCCGGAAATTTAGACCACCTGGGGTTCCTTAACGTGCACCCAAATCTGAGCACACGAGCCTACAACATTCTCGCCTCCATCGGAAATGAAAAACTGCTTTTAAAGTAGCACACTACATTTACACAGCTTTCGAAAACTAATCTTCTGATAAACGTTTATTGCAGTATTCTCTATCTTATGATCCCGATTTTTCCGAATTCGCTACACTATCGAGGTGTGCAAGCGGCACGAAATCACGTGCCTCCATCAAATTCCGCGGCACGTCCGTGAGAGCCCCAGCAAGAAATGGCACCGGGTGCAGTGCGCGCCAAAGGCGGGAAAAAAGAATCGAGGAGGAAATGCACGTGTGGAGGAGAGTGTCATTACTTTCCCAGATCACATTATTTTTTCAAGGACTTGTGTGCACCCTGGTGGAAATGGTGGAATTCTTTTACACACAATTTGAGCACATCTCAATTTAGGAATTTCCGCCTGAAAAAATGCGCAATTACTGCATTCTGGGGTATGCATTATAGCTCAGATTGCATGACGTCGGTAGTTCTGAATTGGCAAGTTTTTCCGTGAACCGAAAAAAGACTGAAATATTTCTGGTTTTACTTCGGAACGAATTAATAATGTTTTGGTTGCATTTTTCTTCCAATCAACAATAATTTTTTTTTCCGGGTTTCGTTCCGTTCTGACACACTGGCTCAAATAGTGCACCTATCATCGTGCATTTTGGATTCTGTAGTACACACCATGTCGTAGTGCAGCTCAGCGACTACAGGCAACAATTATCATGGCATGAGCAGCTGGCCGAGCTTTGCTCGCATGCGCCATGTACTGGAGACATCACACGAGGGGGAAAAGACAGCCGAACAGCACCTTGGAGCTCAACTGACTAGCAATTTCACGGCACTCACTATCAGTAGTGGACACAGGTTTGCCCTTAATAAATGCATATGCTTTATTAGCCTGTGTTCTTTAGCATCAATCCAATATCTTTACCTTTATGAAATCAGCACATGAACATGAACCCATTTTGTTTTTATCGCTTGCAAGGCAAACGCCATAGGGGCCAGGATGCTTTGTTTGTTTGCAGAATGAGAAGTGGCAGTGCAAACACACTAGAGGCTGCACATAGAAAAAACACGACATCCACAAGCGCAGACTATCAACTGCTTGTTTGTCAATGCATATTAAACGGCCAAGGCAGCTGTAAAGCACATGTGCACACTACCATTGTTTTCAACAAGTCATATCACATCGTCACTGTTACACTTGTTCAGAAGTGTTGTTGTCTGTGCATGAACAGTAAGGCTGCCTTGGGCGTTTATAAGCATTGATAACCGAAGGAATAAACCAGTTGATAGCCAGTACTTGTGTGTCATGTGTTCTCTATGTGAGGCATCTTGTGTGTTGGCACTGTCTTGTGACTCGGTGCTGTTACTTTTAATTTTGGAATATGTACCAACTTGGCCCAAATGAAGTTTTATTGATAGTTTGTTTTTGTCCTCATTTCCAATGTGTCTATCAATTATGTTGATGGAAGTACTGACCACGTGTTCTAAGCAACACTGGAAAATACTGCTCGCTGGCGAGAACCAAATGCGTCTACTGCACTTGCCTCCTGCAGTGGTGACACTGGTGAGCGGACCTTGTCGATGACCCCTTGTACCAGCGGCTGCTGAGTGCACGGTAGCATAGCAGGTGTGCCTGCCTCCACATTTACGCGAGAAGTCCGATCCCCGTCGTCCGAGTTGAAGATGCCACTGTCGTCCGATGCCAAGCTGTGACGATCCGTCGTGTCACTGTGGTGGGAGGGACTGAGCACACGCATGGCTGAGTCAAGGCTCAAGTTGCGCTGATGGTGCGGCTGCGGCTTGCGTGGCATGTGGCTGCTGCTGGACGAAGGCGGTGTGACTGCACGAGCTATGCCGGGCCCGTGGTGGCCTCGCAGGTCGAGGCTCGAGTGCCGCGCGTGGTGCATCATTACACTGGATGGCTTGGAGTGCACCAGCACAGGGCGCGAGGAGGCACAGCATGATGGGACCACCTCTTCACTCTCCATGCCTCATCTGCAGAACTCCATCAACAGCTCGACTGCTGTGAAAAGATTGAACACAATACATTGGCAGGCCGCTTGGTGTGAATCTATAGTTTGTTCTTTAGTGTGAAACAGCACCACAAGAGAGACGGGACAAAGTGCCACCATCAACTGACATCAGACATCATTCCAATCCTTCCAGTTCTCGTCTGTACAAGAAGTGTAGTGGCACAATACATGATGTTAGTGGAGAGAGACACTTTGTACTGTCATCTTTCAGGATGAAGAATAATCACTGTGTCGAAAGATTAAACAAAAATCTCCCCTGGCTCTCTAATGGCATGAGCATAGCTGCTCTGCGTGCAAGTTATGGGTGTCCCAAATTAGATTTCTCCGTACCACCAAATTTTTTGTGCCAAAGAGGAATGCGATTGATACTGTGCAGCAGTCACTACATGAGCGTTTCCTCCCTTGCAACTCAAAAGGCCCACTTCGGTCATCTGGCTAAGGCTAGGAGACTAAACTCGTGTGCTGCCTCATTTGTCTGCAACACGGAATTTCCGTGGTTGCAAATGACTACAGCCCATTACACAGTATGGTTACCAAGGGCGAGGGAAATTCCAACAGATTCCACACATCACAGGAATCCATTTCATGCATAGGAGTCAACAAGTAGCCACTTATTTAAGTCACTTTGTGGAGCAGTCAGGCACACTCACTACTCTGCCATAACATTCGCACTCATGTTACAGCCACAGACATTATCTAGACATTATCAAAAGTAAGTAAGTAATGCAGCATTCATTGACGTATTCTTGTGGGGACAAGCAAGGCTAGACTATAGCTTGTCGAGCATATGCATCTGTGAACTACATTAAAAATTCCTAACTCTCTCAGGCAGTATGTCCATTCATTTTAGTCCATAGATTGTGCCATCAAGCTTTGAATGTCTACATACACGAGCTGAGGCAAAAGCTTCCATGATGTACGTGGCAAGCATGCTGCACTATTCATGTCATGAATGGCCAGACGCATTTATCATACTATCTTAATCCAGATTTGGTATGTTCCAAGTTAAGGGGACATGCGCACATGTACGCGACCATGAGTGCACACGGGTTGGTAGAAATGTTCAAAGTGCCACTGGTTCACAAAGGAACACTTTGCAATTAAGATGTGTGTGGTATGGCTTATGCTATAATCAAACTGGTCAATTTCTTTCAAGAACATGCTAAAAGCCAACATATACTAAAAAAAAGCATAGACTGATGCACAAATGAATGTGTGACAAGCGGACATCATCTGGTGCCGTCTTCACATGTTCTTTGAATAAAAGTTTACCTCTTAAAGCCTAGCACTATTTCCTGTCCAAATTTTGTACATGAGGTTTAAACTTCAGCTTAAAAAAATTAATCTGAACAGTTATCGAATATGCTAACACTGCATGGTTTTTGTACACTAAACAGACAACCTATTTTGCTGGGCCCATTTTTTTTTTTTTTTTTTACGGCTCGACAGAACGACCCTTCGTAGCATTGGTAACTGCGGTAGTTAATCACAAAGGCGGGAAGTTGTTTTACAAGCGGTATTTTTCTATCTGAAAGGCTCTTGTCACAGATGTACCTTTCCTCCGGAGAATCGATAATGATGCCGCCAGCCCTTCTCGCGATTTGTGAAAGCTGTCATTATTCTGCTTCCGCAGGAGATCTTATGCTTAACCATTTTTACTTCGAACTTTTCAACTATTTTAAAAATAACAAGCTGTTACAATGAGATATTGTGGTATCTCGTTGCGTGCACCTGAGTCGTGGGCGGCCTGTTGCAGCATGGTTGATACAGAAGCCAAGCTATATCGCCAAAAACGTCATACGAACAGCCATGCCGAGTAGCAGTGCACGTCATTTCCGAGACAAAGTGTAAATAGCGAAACTATGTCGCCCCCAAAATCTTAGTGATCTGGAAACTGCCTGCACGGTTGCATGAGCACGCCGAAAAGTTGCTCAAGACAAGAACGGCATCATTACGCCCCACGAAGGCTTTCTAATGCAGACCTATAGGTGCAATTTCATGGAGTAATATTGTTACGGGGGTTGGCGGCTCATGTACAAGATGCATTCACAGAGGAAAAACACAGGCAAGGGTCACGATGGCTGACTGACACACTCCCGCACCTGTCAGCTGCTTCTGCCCTTCATCTTCCTTCACTTCATCTTCGTTAGAGGACACCCGGGCGCTGGAGCGCCGTCTCGCCGCGAGTCCGGAGAAGTGCGAGAGTAGTAGGGCTTCATATGCAAAACATGCACAATGTCGACAGGCGGCGAGTTTGGTGATAAATCATAGTGCAATGGCACTATCTTGTAGTTCACGTCGCTAACTTGGCGTAAGGCTAGGTAGGGTTCTGCACAGCGGGACAAGTTTTTTGGAGAAACTTACATGGCGACAAGGTTATCAGAGAAGCACAAGGTAACCTGGGGTAAACTTCATATTATGAAGCCGATGGTCGTAGCAGGCTTCTTGCATATCTTGAGTGTGACCTGGCGAGATGAGACTGGGCCACTTGATGAGCCATGTGAGCCCAATCGATGGCTTCGGGAGCATACACGGTAGTACATGGTACGAGAAGCAAAGCGGTTTCAAATGGCAATATGAGGTCGTGGCCATACAAAAGATAAAAAGGTGGAAATCTCGCAGTGTCATGTCGCAAGGAATTATATGCAAAAGTCACATAGGCCAACGAGGTGTCACAGTATCAATGATCTTGAGAGACGTACATAGAAAGCATTTCTGTGTACTGGAATCAATATCCAGCACCTGCACCATCATGTTATGGAGTTGGTGACTTATGTACAAGATGTATTTGCAGATGAAAAACACATGGGTCAGGATGGCTGATTGACACACTCCCACGCCTCTAAGCTGCTTCTGCCCTTCGTCTTCCTTTCCTTTATGTCCGTAACAATATTTTTAATTTAAGGAAACTATATTTCAATACTAATTAATAAATCGAAGTAATCAATGGTAACGTGGCCGGATTGTTTTTGTTTCTGCCTCTAAAGGCAGCATATTTCATTTTTCTCGACTTTCAATGAAGAAATAAAGTAAATCCACTTCTCAAGAAAAAAACATGGTTCTTTAGAGTCAATGTGATGGACAAATTTTCCATCAGTGTAGTCATGTCACTTTACTCTGAGCAGCTGTCGGTCCTTTTAGCAAATATGATATTTCATTCATGTACCAAATTACTAAAAAATTCTGGCCTTCTTAGTCTTGAAAATAGAGCCAAAGTAGTGTGATTGAAATACATGCATCAGTTCTGACACAATCACCTAAACATTAACGTTTTGATTAACACACCAAGACCTAACACATAACGAATGCTTCTTAATGCTAATTAAATATATACATTAATGGAACTGCTTTATATTCTGCATCAATGAGAGACTGCAATAAACTCGACTCATCAACTGCTATTACTAACTCGCTGGAGAGGTTTAGCATGATAATCGATGAAGCTTTACAAACACGGCACAGTTAAGTTAAGGCATTACATTATTTATTTATAACCATAACTATCTTAAGACATAACCCCATAACCACGAAAATGCACGCGACAGCGGCGAGAGATGCTACGAGTCATAAAGTGCGTTCGGGTGAAGTGTCATGTGGTAGTTTTTGCGCGATAGCTCGGTTTTCTAGATTTGAAAACTGTCGTCCACCGCCCAGAAGTGCTCTGCTCAAAGCGCCGGAACACGGTCCCAAATAACCTGATGCCGGTTCTCTTCATGTGCCACGAAACCACCACCTCTTCTCATGCTCCTCTGCGCCCAAGTGCAGTTTGCTATAAGGAAGAAATATTGTAATGTTTATGCACATGCACATAAAAAAAGTGCTGCAAGGCAATCTACCTCGCGTCAGCTGTCACTGTCGCGAGCATTTTCGCGGATATGGGGTTTAGCCCTTATCCGTGTGTTTGTTCTGTTTGTATTAGAACATTTTATATAATCTAAATTAAACTTAAATTTACATTTATGTATTTATTATGCACAGTTACACAAAGTGCTGCTTCTCTTTCTATGTTACTATGTAAACATCTGTGATTGAAGTGTTAGTGTTCTAGCTGTTTTAACCCCCTTTTTCTTGTTTTGATCTTGCAATGCTCTTAAATAAATAAAAAAAGAATGAACCTGAACCCCAACTTTTAAGGTTGATTACACGGCTCTGTCGCATAAACACTGCTCTTTTGCACAAAGATAGAATAAAAAAAATATTGCCCAATCAAGAATTGAGACACCAAATGGCCAGCACATGAGCACCGCAATGGCAACCACCAGCCTGCACTAATATGTGTAAAAAATGGAGAGTCCTCAACATGCATGGCAAGATACAATTTGCTCTACCACATATTTTATGCAACTTCATCATCTCTATGATGCTGTGTTACTAAGCAGAAGCTGCATTTTGAAATACATCACCAGCGCACATTCTAAAAAACTGGTAAAACTAAACCTTTACAACAAAATGCCTAACATTCCTATCATGGTGTTGGCAGGTAAGAGCTGAAAACAATGTCTTTTTTTTTTTCTTCAAATTTACGATTCAATTTGCCTACCTCTTGCTTTCACCTACACTGCTGATTGTGGTAATTTTAGTCATACCTCATCAGATGTGCTCCCAGTACACTTAAAAACATGTGTATTTGACATTTTCATTTGTGCCTGCCATTTAATGCACCTATTTCACGGAGAGGATGGCCTCACCATAAGGCCATAAATGTTGACGGTATTTGCTGGTACCTATGTAATAGGCCCAAATGAAATGCACTGTGTTCTATTAACATGACGCACTTACTGAGGCAGTGCGGTCAAAATACAATAAAGCTTGAAATCTGTAGTGTAGCACTGCCATTCTAGCTACATTTATTAGGAACAAAATTTTTTTTACATACGTAGCTTTGAACATAAAGTTCGGTTGCTGCAATGCCCTTATGATGATGAAATTACCTGCAACAGAACTCTGCGAGGATAAACCTGAGTTTGTGTCCCTCAGACAAGATGTACAACACAGTCACAAATATCTCGCGACACTGGATAAGTAGCTTGCCTTCATTTGTCCATCGTTTATGTTATTACTATCGTGATGGCCCAGTTTAGCCTGCAAGGTATGTGCAAACCATTGGAATTAGCATCTTAAAGTATGCAAATTTTAAGAAATATGACACCAAAGGGGACTTAACATACTCTTCTTGAGAGTCCTCGTATTATGCACAACCTTTGTTACTGCAACACACCACTATAGTATTTGACATAAACATGTGCACCTGTTTGACAACTATTCGCATAAAAGATTATTAGTACTTGTCGATCTAGAATGACAGCGTTCCGGATCCAAGGACCCAGTTTGATTATACCCAACATGCACTTGACAGGTTAGGTTCGCCACCCTTTCTCCAAGCAGCCTGTACGTCAATAAAATTTCAAATGTCATAATCGTGTACAAAAGCATCAATCCCGCACCTTGTTATTAACACAAAACAGTGCTTCCATGAAATGCCACTCGACATGGTAGTCATATATTATTCAGGATATCGGCGAAAGTTTGGGCCATCCAGCATGCCGATGAAGCCGCTTCGAAGGTCTCGCAACCGCATCCACGCTGGGTGTTCAGACTCGTCTAAAAGACGTCGGACTCGAATCTTCTTGATTTGGTAATAAAGTGTGTTCTTCTTGCCTAGCAGCATGCCGCGATTTGCGAAGGTATCAGATATGGGTTCCTGAGCGCAATTTCCGGCCTCATCCCATTGAAATCACTTGGAAAAGTTGCCCGGTCTTTCATTTTAAGTGGAGTACTCATCACACTCGTTGCATGGATTTCGACATAAGGGCTGTCCTGCAGTGCACAAACACCGACGCCCCGCTGATATTTCTCACCCACTAAGTGCACCGCCTGTGCGTAGAGTGATCGCGGAAACAAGGCTTAGCTTATGGCAAAACCGTGATGCGGGATGAGCAAGCTTACAAAGCAGAGATATGGGCGCCTGAACAGCAGCGCAACAGCAACTGACCCAGCTACGTACGGGCTGTGGAGGGCGGAAACATCTGGGCCATGGAGGCCGACCCTTTTTCAGTCAACGCAATCGGCAAGTTGCGGCTATCGCCACGCTGACCCCTCAGCGTGTTTCTCCCGTGCGGTAATCACACGGCATTCTAAATACATGAACAATATGCAGAATAGTAACGCCCGAGTGCACCGCAAAAGGGGCAACTGTCACATACCTGATGTGGCAGCAGAAAGCAGCTAACGAACCTTAGCACTCTCAAGAACAAGCATAAATGACCTGGCGAGCGGTCCTTGTCAACCGTAATTCACTTAGAGCGAAGGCCCTGCCGAAGTATCCAATTAAAAACGCGAATGCAATTACCTCTGTTCTTGTTTCGACTCCAACGACGCAGGCGACGATTACAGAGGCACACATCCGCAGCCCACGCTCAATACGAACGATGCGGAGCTGTAATCCAAACAGTGACATAAGTCCATCGGGTGAACAATGCAGGGAGTCGCTAACGCATCACTACAATGATAAACCAACATTTATTTACTTGTGACCCGCCCGACGGCGCGTTACAAATCGCCATTGCATGACGTCAGCCCACTCTTGCTCCCAGAGAACGTTGCCGCCGGGGCGGCCGCCACGGCGCCGCTGCGGAGGGCGAGAGGGTAGACACGCTATGCAGTGCGTGTGGAGAGGAGGAGGAGGATACTGCTGAACACTTCATAAAGTTCTGCTTCACCCTGTAGTTCCAGTTGATAGCGCAGAGTTTTTTTTTTTTCAGAGCACTGGGGTTTAGGGACAGGGAGGGCAGAATAGACTTTAAGCGTGTAGAAATAACTAGGAGGAGGTTATCAGATTGGTGGATACAATCAGGGCACGAGTGAAAAAATAAATCCTTCACTGCAAAGTGCCAGTCGATCCTTAACTTCCCTATCTAAAGGTCACTATATTCAGAAAAAAATATGTCAAAATTATGTGAGAGGGATATTTGTTTGTTTGTTGCCTACACGTACTGGCGCATACTCCCTTTGCCACTCTGGGGGATTGGCCATGAAATATCCTTGCTTTGCTTTCATAGATACATGGCACGTACCCACTTTGTGGGATTGGCCAAGAATGCAGCGTAGAGACTGTTAAATGTTATTTTAGGTATGCTATAAAATTTAAAACAAAAAAAATAAAGAAATTAAATGAGAATAATACTTGAAATATTCAATTTAACTACAAGTAATGCTTCTTAGCCTGTATTCCAGACTGCCGTAATAACCTGAAGGGAATAATTTTGAAAAGTTAAGTTCTAACCTAACTAAATGACGAAGAATTTCAAGTACCAGATGAAAATGGTACTCGTTGGGTAGTTGTAATGAAATTTTTATTTTGTTTATTTACAAAATACTGTCAACCCTCCTTGAGGGTTATTACAGGAGTGGAGAAGATACGATCTTTTTACAAGCAAGGCAATGCAGTGGCAATACAAGAAAAGTACATAAGAAACGAACACAAACAAGAGTAATGACATCATGACGTGCAAGCGTCGCGATCATGGTAATAACTAATGCATACATCATGCAGGAATAGCAATACATTGCCTACAACCAAATGATAAAGAAAATAAAATAAATTGTTAGATTGTGGATCCTTTCACCCGTATGCAATTAGGTTAGCACATAGAACTTGGGGACACCGCCATGAGATTTTCAACTCTTTCTAAAAAATTTTGAAGTGTTGGCTGTGCTACAGTAGCTGAATCAAGCGCATTCCACTCTCTTATTACACGAGGGAAAAATGAAAACCTGAAGCTATTGTTACGGCAGAAATATTCTTCGAAGATCAAGTCGTGTTTTTGGCGCACTTTCCCTTTTGATTTTATAGAAGCGAAGGCATTAGCTTTAAAGTGGCCGTTCAACAATTGGTAAAAAAAACTTCAACCGATGGATTTCTGCTCTATCGCAGAGCGTAGGTAGATCTGCTCGGATCAGAAGCTCGGAAGGGGAAACCGTTCGCTTATAGCGGTTAAAGATAAATCTTACCGCCTTGCGCTGCACGCTCTCGAGCAAAGCTATGCCAGTATTTGTTGAAGGAAACCACACCATATTCGCATACTCTAGCATAGGCCTTATAAAGGTAATGTAAGATTAGCGCTTCGTATCTGTGGTAGCGTAGCCTAGGGTCCGTTTTAGAGAAAACAACTTGTTCATTGCCTTTTTCGACGTCACTTGTTGTACATGCGCAGTCCAAATTACACACGGCATCAAAGGCATCCTTGTGGCAGTATCTCAAACCTGAGGCACCTAAGCTTAAAACACTTTCCTCCGATAAGGCCTAACCTAGTTTTGTAAAAGGAGGAATTAGATGTCGAGTTCTGATACGAGAATATCTTGCACATGACAAAAAGTAATGTACGATATTTTCCAGTTCTTCGCAGAATTGGCAGAGGGGTGATGTCGTCAGACCAGCCCTGTACCAGTAAAAGTTTGATGGGGGGACATGACATCGAAATCTGATGGTCATCACTTCTGATTGTCGAGAATGGCTCCACTGCGATTTCCATAGATATTTTAGGTGATTATATTCCGTCCACGTGGTTATGTTGTTTCTATCTTATTTGTGTGGATAGCTGATCTTCTAAACCTGATTGCGGTGAAGTATTCTACCACCGGTAGAACCTGAATTATTGGGAGATCTAGCGATGAGCGGACTGAGGCGTCGGCCATTTCATTTGTTTTAACCCACAGTGACCTGGTACCCATACTAACTTTAGGTACTTCAGCTGAGACGGAACTAAAGATCGTAACGTCGTGATGGCACGAGAGGTATGAGAAGTTGTAAGAGCTGCGCATACCGAGAGCGAATCAGTAATTATTATTGCTCCGTTCTCATTCCTCGGAAGTTTTCGCAGTGCCATGATGATTGCTATTATCTCCGCCACATTAACTACGGAGAAGGGTTAGCAACCGGGTAATATGACGTCTATCGCAAAAATTTCACATATAGGGGACATATACTTGTACGAGATTTTCGCCTTTAAGCTGATTCTGTTAGAGATAAAAAATGCTAGTCCTCCACATCTAGACGTGCGGTCTAGCTTAAACGAGTGGTAACTGATTAAATGAAACGGTTTATCTACGGAGAGCCATCTGCAGCCAGGTTAAATTTTACTTCTTTTTTTTTTCTCTTTCAGAAAACGGGCCTGGCTGGGAATTCATTTCATTCTTAATACCAGTAAGCAAATTGGGTATTAATATTCTATTTTAACACAAAGCAAGCGTTCCGAGCACCAAAGAAAAAAAAAGCTAAATTTAGTTTTTGTTCACTAAGTATTACGGAGGTGCCGTCAGCCGCCGCCCGATCTCAATAAAGCATGATCTAAAGAATACAGTATTGTGTCGGGGCGGCTGGCCGGGACAAAGAAGAAGGAACGACGAGCCGCAGCAGACCGACGCGGCCGGCGGTCGCCACCCACCACTACGGCACGCAATGCCCACAGCAGAAACACGTCCGCCACGAACCGGGTTCTGTCACGAACTGATTTATTTACACGTACATCATAGCCTACGAGATTGCGGGTTCGCAGAACCACGCCACGCGCTCGCAATCTTGGAGGTCTTGCATATATAAATAACACTACACGAAGCGCCACATAACATTCGAAACCAAAACCGAAAAAAACGTTACGACATAACACTATGCTCCCCTCGAAAAAAGTCACTCACTAGAAAATACAATAAACAGTATACACAGTAAAGCACACAAACAATTGTACATGTAACACAGTGTAAAATTAGGAATGGCAAAAAAATGTATAAAATGCACACAACAACGCGACTACTACATCACATCATCCCCTCCCCAGAAAGAGGATGTGCACGCAGCCGCTGGCATGCTTTAGAGAACGGCGCCGACGCCTGTGCCAACGCCGTTTCCATGACAGGCGTATCAGGCACAGCCGCCGACAGCAGCCAGGTGGGACGAAGGAATCGGTCCAATAACTTTCGGTCCAGTGCACCTTCAGCGTAGAAGGTGTCATGAACATGTGAGAATTGAGGCTAGCCCGCCACCTTTAGCCCGCCGCCTTTTCTGCCGTTCTCATGTCCCGACATGACTCCCCTCCTCCGCTGTCTGCCACGCTGGGAGAGCGAGAAGTGACGCTTAACCGCTCTCATTCGGTAGCGGATGTCGACTGTGGCGCCGCGCGCTGAGTCTCCCGAGAGGTTTCGCGCGAGCGCATCGTAACAGACAAAATCGGAACATTTATTCTAGCAACGGAAGCCCTCGCAGTCGAAGAAGGCAGAGCCAGGGTATGCTCAACTGCAGGCAGCACTGCAGGAGCAGGCACATCAGGAGCACGGGGCAGTTTCCTTAATCGCAATGTTCATAGACTGTCGCGCTGCCTAGTGGAATTCAAGGGCATCCTCTCAAGGATGATGAATAGGCAGACGCTCCCAACGATCCCTTGTTCGGTGGTGCTAGCCGCAGTGTTAACGCGTTAATAAGAAACGAACACAAACCATTTTGTATGTTTCGTGAATCAGTGAATATTTATTTATTTATTTATTTATTTATTTATTTATTTATTTATTTATTTATTTACAATACTGCCAGTCTCTTACGAGACCAAAGCAGGACGGCATGAGTATCAGAATACAATTAATGCTAAGTACTTTCTTACAGGCGGCATACAGAACTGTAGTTATTTTAAAATTGGTAATAATAATCCTAGTTACATAGAAACATTAGACATAGGTATTTATGCACTCCAAATATTCACACTTCGGAAGCAGCGAACTGAATCTTTGCTGCATAAAAAGAATCAATACAGTTTTATACAGAGAAGGCATTGTGTATACTTATACATCCAAATAAATACTACTGGAAAACAATAATGGAGGTCATGGTTGAAGAAAGCCGTTGTCTCAAAGTATAGTCTCAATTTTTGAAGTGAATTCTGCCAGTGATTGTGCGTTAGTAATGGAGGGATCTAACCTATTCCATTCGCTGATTGACAGGGCGAAAAAGGATTGTTCGAAACAGTCGTTGTTGGAAGAGTATTCTTTGATAGTGTATGAATGTTTATGTCGTAGTGTTCGTGATTCTGCCAAAGATATGTACCTGGATGCATCGATCCGGCTGTGGTTATGCAGAATGTGGTGTAGAAATTTGAGACGCGCGATTTTTGCTCTTGTTGCAAGCGTGGGTAGACCGGAGGTTTCTAAAAGGTTTGTGGGCGAGTCGGTGCGTTTGTACTTATTATGTATAAACCTAATGGCCTTCCTTTGAACCCGTTCAACTTTTGCTATATTAGTAACACCTTGCGGGAACCACATAGTGTTAGCGTACTCCAAGACTGGTCGCACGAATGTGGTGTAAGTTAGGAGCCTAGTATCTGTCAGCGCGAAGGGTAAATGCCTTCGTAAAAAAAACAGTTTACGCAAAGCCGATGCTGTAACATTGTTAATGTGCGCATCCCATCTCAATTCGGAAGTCAAGGTGACGCCAAGATACTTCTGCTGCGTAACTCTTTGTAAAGGTACGCCGTTAATTGTATAGGTAAAGTCGGAGGGTTCTTTTTTCCTGGTTACCGTCATGCAAACTGTTTTTGTTAGGTTAATTAAC